TTGAATATTTCCTTAATGGATTAGGGGAAAAAATGAATTTTTTCCTGAGGTCGTATTCAATTGTGCAAAAAAATCTCTGAAAATCCACACTCCAAACACCACCAACGAAATACTATTCCATATATCAAAAACTCAACAAAGCATTTTTTAGTATTACCTCTTCTCTTTATTCTGTGAAAATTTCATGAACATTGAATAAAAAATGGTGGAGTTGTTCAAAAATGTATATAGAAAAACCGCGTTTTGAGAAAACTGGCAATAAAGAAAAATAAAAGATTGACTTTATGACAAAATGGCGGTGACAAACATGCCTGGTATGGGAAGAAATAAGGCTTTAGAGTATTCTAATGTTATGAAATAGTTATAAGAGAGGCTGAAGAAGCTAATTGCCTACAACTCAAAATCCATAATTTTGATCCGAATTTGGACTTTTGGGTTGAAGCCCCCCCACACCTTCTCCTAAAGGGAAAATGTCTTTTCTAGGACACAACATTGGTCCCTGACGGAGTTTATATCCATGACCAAAGCCCGACAGCCTAACAACCAGACCATCAGCTCCGCAGGATCAAGTCAAATAGCCTCAAAATAGGTAATGGCATCAACTTAGAGAGAATCGAGCACCATGCTAGTTACCATTCCGTATAATAGCACTGAAGTGTGTGAGCGTCGTTCAAGTGTGCACACCCTTTTTAAGCTGCACTTGAACCCTTGATATTATCAGTCTTAGCGCTAAGATTTCTCAAGATTCATGAGCCCAAACATGACAAGGAAAAGAAGGCGAAACGCCTTCCGAATTCAGGAAATATTTTGATACCCCTTTTTATGAGTGTGCTTGCGCGTGCTCTCTCTCTCTCTCTCTCTCTCTCTCTCTCTCTCTCTCTCTCTCTCTCTCTCTCTCTCTCTCTCTCTCTCTCTCTCTCTTAAGACAGTCCAACCCACTGGGAGAGGCAACACACGTCGGAATAAAGTGACATCTGATCTATCACACCACTACTGCATGTCTCTCCAGCGTTCCAGCGCCATCAGTAAAATCGCAACCTAAGAATAACAAGGCTTTAATCTCAATTACTACACTCGTTTTGACACATCGGAGTGAAAAGTTTGTTGCACACACTACGAAATCTTCATTGAATGAAGAACAAGAATTCATCAATCTGGTTTGTCTCAGAAGAATAAGGGATGCTGGTTGTTGGCAGGTGTTCTGGTCTGACTTGCTCTTTCTTTCCTATCAAACATGTATCGTCCTTATCTCTCCCCATTTCTTTTTTGTGTGTTCGTTACACACTTGTAATATCTCTAATCTTCTTATTTGCTTTATATAAACTTAATCTGTTGCAAGTGCCGTAACACTCTTACAAAAACAAAACTGAAAATTGAAGAAGAGTTCTAACTTTTAAATAATATTATTATGATGGAGAGGGAGTACACAGGGGGAAGTCCAAGACAACGTGACTCAAAAACACTAAAAATAAAATTTAAAAAATCGCCCGAGTCAGAACCTTGTTATCCCGGGGTCACGATTCGTAAAATGTGCACAAACACGGTGCCCGTTCGAAGATGGTGCGGTTCCAAGCTGACTACGGCCCTGCCCTTTCACTGTTGTTCATGTAGATTTCGCGCCAGACGTTTTGATAGTTTTTCATTGTAAGGGTAAATAGGCGGGGGACCGAGGAGCGAACGGAGGAAAGGTCAGCGCAGGAAGAAAATCTGGGAGCAGCAGACTTTCTGGGATTTTTGCTTCACATTCAGGGAGGAAAAGGAAAACAGAGAGGAGCTGAAACCTTTTAAACTTAACAACAAACAGCGAGGGACAGAACGAGAAGTGGAGGTAAGAAGAGAAAAAGTATACATGGCAAATTCCATTTCGCTTGAATCATGTGTTCTTTAGAAATTACCGGTAAAACAAACAAGAAAAACAAACCTGAAAATAAAGATATTATTAAGACCAAAAAAAAAAAAAAGGAAGTTTACTCTTAAGGTTCGGAACATGGAGTAAGAAAGAAGTATGTCTCTTCTATTTTGCCTTTGATTCAATGACACACTTGTGGGTAAGAAACATGTACTTGAAAAAAAGGGGGCAAAAAATATTATGGCTTTGCTCGATATAAGAGAAAGAAAGACAAAAAGTGCACTGTGTCTGGAGTGGGCGTAATCAAGAGAG